GTAAAATCTATTCATTAATTTGTCTGAAACAGTCACACAGATGTAAGAAGAATTAATCAGCTCCTCTCCGTACCTTGGACATCTAAATGGTAACGACAAATGGCAGTTTAATTCCTGAAGTTGCCGCAATGCCGATTCTGGATCTTTTTAAGCAACGCTAATAATATAGTTGTAATTAGGCTTGAGTAGCCATTAATGTCATTTTATAGTAGAGAGGCCACTATGAACCATAAAAACAGTCTTAGATGCATTATAAACCAATTCAGCCCGCATTGTCTCATTGTTTCAATTCTCTAGAGGCCTTCAATCCTGAGAAAAGTAATTTCACACAGGGCACAATGACATAGCTCATTTAATTTTTATAAAAAGGGCCAACTTAAAATGTGTACTTTGTATGCCATTATTCTGGCTTTCCGTAAGTTACAAATGTTGGTACAGTATAGTAAAATACGACAAATGGAAATTCAAGCTGCACGATTAGGCCAAATTATTATTTAACAATTTTCTTTTCTTTTCCAAACTGGCTATCATGTATACATTATGTATTACAGTTTACAATTTAAAACAATTTGATGTTTTTCGTTATTGAACCTATATTAACATGATTATTTACTAAAGTAAGAATTCAAAGTGGATTCCAAAACATTTGAAATGTAAGACCAAATAAGCCAAACTGAAAGCATAGTTGACATAACAGATTTTTCCAGCTTGGCTATTTTGACCTTAACCCCTTAAGGACCAAACTTCTGGAATAAAAGGGAATCATGACTTGTCACACATGTCATGTGTCCTTAAGGGGTTAAGTTTGACCTTTGCTTTGAATTTCTGCTAGTCCGATCAGTGGTCATTTCACAATGTACATCTTTCTAATATTGGGTAGGGCCTCTGCTTGCCATCTAAAGCTATGTGGCACTGACACTGCAAGGCGTTGGAAAAATGTCTTAGAGATTCTGGTCCTTGTTGACATGAGAGTTGCTACAAACAACAAATGTGGGATTCAGGACACGTGGGTTCCTCAATAGACCTCAGTACTGTAAGCTCGTGCATGAGCGAGAATACAGCACTGATGTGACTAATGGCAGCTGAAGTGCCAGGAGTCGAAGAGACCTGCAACAGTAACATGGCAGTGGTCATGAGGTACAACCTGAGGTAAGTAAAACTCACCTACCCTGCACCCCGCGGCCACCAGACCCACACCAGATCTGTCCATTTTGGGAAATTGACAGATCCACTTTAAGGAGTCTAATGTGTATCTAGATATGCAGTGCCTTTCAAAAGTATCCACCCCCCTTGACCTATTTTGTTACATTACAGCCTTAAGTTCAATGGTTTATTAATCTGAATTGTATGTGATGGATCAGAACACAATGGTCTAACTTGGTGAAGTGAAATTAGAAAAATATATACATAAAACTATTTTTTAGACATAGAAAACAGAAAATTGGCATGTGCGTATGTATTCACCCCCTTTGTTATGAAGCCCATAAAAAGCTCTGGTGCAACCAATTAACTTCAGAAGTCACATTATTAGTGAAATGATGTCCACCTGTGTGCAATCTAAGTGTCACATAATCTGTCATTACATATACACACCTTTTTTGAAAGGCCCTAGAGGCTGCAACACCTAAGCAAGAGGCACCACTAACCAAACACTGCCATGAAGACCAAGGAACTATCCAAACAAGTAAGGGACAATGTTGTTGAGAAGTAAAAGTCAGGGTTAGGTTATAAAAAAATATCCAAATCTTTGATGATCCCCAGGAGCACCTTCAAATCTATCATAAACAAATGGAAAGAACATAGCACAACAGCAAACCTGCCAAGAGACGGCCGCCCAACAAAACTCACGGACCGGGCAAGGAGGGCATTAATCAGAGAGGCAGCACAGAGACCTAAGGTAACCCTGGAGGAGCTGCAGAGTTCCACAGCAGAGACTGGAGTATCTGTACATAGGACGACAATAAGCCATACGCTCCATAGAGTTGGGCTTTATGGCAGAGTGGCCAGAAGAAAGCCATTACTTTCAGCAAAAAACTAAACGGCACGTTTTAAGTTTGCGAAAAGGCATGTGGGAGACTCCCAAAATGTATGGAGGTGCTCTGGTCTGATGAGACTAAAATTGAACTTTTCGGCCATCAAAGAAAATATTATGTCTGGCACAAACCCACCACATGACATCACCCAAAGAACACCATCCACAGTGAAACATGGTGGTGGCAGCATCATGCTGTGGGGATGTTTTTCAGCAGCCGGGACTGGGAAACTGGTCAGAATTGAGGGAAAGATGGATGGTGCTAAATACAGGGATATTCTTGAGCAAAACCTGTACCACTCTGTGCGTTATTTGAGCCTAGGGCGGAGGTTCACCTTCCAGCAGGACAATGACCCCAAACACACTGCTAAAGCAACACTTGAGTGCTTTAAGGGGAAACATGCAAATGTGTTGGAATGGCCTAGTCAAAACCAGACCTCAATCCAATAGAAAATCTGTGGTCAGACTTAAAGATTGCTGTTCACAAGCGCAAACCATCCAACTTGAAGGAGCTGGAGCAGTTTTGCAAGGAGCAATGGGCAAAAATCCCAGTTGTAAGATGTGGCAAGCTCATAGAGACTTATCCAAAGCAACTTAGAGCTGTGATTGCTGCATAGTATTGACTTTAGGGGGGGTGAATAGTTATGCACACTGCCTGTGTAGCTAAATGTTTGTTTATATTGATATTTATATGAGTCCGGGTCTGTATGTGTATGTATGTATGTATGTATGTATGCAAGAGTGTATTTGTGTATATATATATATATATATATATATATATATATACACACGGTGTGTGTGTTTGTGCGTTAAGGTGCACGCCTATGGCTTTAGTGGCTATTGAACCAGAATGTCAAAACAAAATGTATATTTATATAAAAAACGGTGCAGTGCCTTAAAGCAGTCAGACAATACTCACACTAACTGTCTGCGTTACTGTTGCTAGGTCCATCCTTCTGGGAAAAGACAAATTATGGGTACGCACTGCAGCTCCAGCTAAGAATACAACAATGAATTATAACTGTCTAAAGCAGCATTTTCATTACAATCAATATCCATCCACCCCTTGTCATGGTTACTAATACTGCAGCATCGACACCCTGTGGGCAGGTGTTGCACAAGGGAAAAAGGACTGGATAAAAAATGTGCTTATAGCTCGGATGTTTTGTTCTCATGAACGTAGAGAATATGAGGAAATACATGCTAAAATAGTACGGAGGTTTTTTTTAAAAATGGATAGGATAGAAAGATAGATAGTTAGATAGACGTTTTAAAGAGCTTTGTTATGAGGTTGTAAATAAATATTTTAAACATTTTTCCCACTAAAATTTCAGCGTCATCAAATAACTTAAAGTTTACGTGAGTGATGAGAGTCATTCAGTTTTAGTCATTGGCAGTCTTTATAGCGGCACTGTCATGGACGCATCTGTTTTGTTTTTTTAACCCCCCTCCTGACTCCTCTACATTTTGTCTGACAAGTCACAACTTATATCCCACAATGGCTCGCTACTTATTAGACATGTCGCTACTTGTGGCATAGGGAAAATTTTAACTACCTTATTTACGAATACTAAGTCGTTTTTACTTAGTAAAGTTAGCCGAAAGACCAATTTTGGTCTTTCAGCTTTTTAGTAGATCTCTCCCTAATTCTTGTGGAAATTAGGGGGCTATATACTAAGCAGCAACAAGATGCATCCGTGGCACGGATCGAAGTTTCATTCTGTGAATGAAATTCAGAACCGAACAATATGCACAAATTGCGTCCTAACACGAATGGACAAACTGTACTCATTCTGATAGGACGAAATTAGGTGAATTTCCCGGCGCCCTAGTCTAAATGACGGAAATAGTGAAAGAAGGCATTGTGAGAACATGGTCAAGCATAGGAAAAATGTATTAAAAAAAGTAGTGCCTGCTTTGGCTTATGTTTTAAAGAAAACTAGATCAGCTAAGAAGAAAAGAAGAACAGATTCTGAGAGAGGAAGAGAAGAAGAAACAATAGGAGAAAGGAAGTTTGGCGTGACAGTGCTGCTTTAACCCTTTAGGCAAGTTCCATTATAGCTAACGCCTCAATGGAATATTAAGGAGTTCAAATTCCATTAACCACCACTGATCGAAATCAATATTGTTGAGCTGACATGTTTGAAAAGCCTACCTATCTCATTTTTGTGCATTCTCTATGGGTTTCAACCTGTTATAAATATAATGATTTGGGGAAGATTTCTTTCTTTATTTTTTAAATTTTATTTTAAACATTTAAGTAACGAGGGGGTTCATATAAAAATCTAAAGAGATAATACAATTTAATAATTAATGTTTCCTTGTGCTGGTAAAATCACTAGACAATGTTGAGTATTCTAAGTTGAGGTATAACCTACAACTATTCTGATAATGTTTTTTAAACTGAGCCACGAGCATGGGGGTTTAAAAGCCAACGTATACAATAAAGAGTATATTTCACAAGAAGCAGGTATGACATCTATTCATATGGACATTTGAATACAAGTCCAGAATACAAACCCTTTTTGAAAAACATGTACGAGTCAAACAGCGGAATTTCAATGTCATTACAAGGTGAACTGATTGATTGTCTTGCTATAAGTGGCAAAATAGTTCAGTTACCTAGAATTCAAGTATGAATAGGAAAGATATTAGAACTGGAGGGATACATGTGTCCAAAGCAAGATGATAATTTTAAAATAAAATGGCAAAACTAGTATATAGAATAAGTTATTGTAAATAATTTATTTCTATTTCCCTAAACGTTTGTTATCAGTAGGACTGTCCAAGACGTGAACCAGCAACTGAACAAAAGTAGCAATACACAAACTGGGGAGGGGGTAATATTAACTATTCTAGGAACTATTAGGATTGAAAGGGTAGACCAAAATAGCAGAATTCGATAATCCACGCTAGCTATTTTATTAACTTGGCTAGTATGGCATTGATATTGTTTAATGGAACACTGTTCTATGGCCATACCAGTCTGAAAGTGCCTGATCTCGTCAGATCTCAGAAGCCATCCAGACTGGTTAGTACTTGTATGGGAGACCAACTAGGAACCCCAGGTGCCGTAGCTCGCTACAGCAAAAAGGCAGCGGGAAATTAGAGAGGTCAACGCGTGGCTGAAGTCTTGGTGCAGGAAAGAGGGTTTGGGGTTTTTAGAGCAGTGGGCCAATTTAGCATTTAGGTACAATCTGTATAACCGTGATGGATTGCACTTAAATGGAAGAGGGTCTGCTGTGCTGGAGGATAGGGTGGCTAAAAGGTTGGAGGAGATTTTAAACTAGTAGTGGGGAGGGGCATAATTTAGAAAATGGAGATAGGATAGAAAGGAGATGGACTTAGGCTCAGTATAAGGGGGGTGGACAAGCTCAGAACAGAGGAGATATGTAATTTTGATAAAAATCCACAAAAAGTATAAATGACTCATGATTATATTAAATGTATGCTTAGTAATGCAAGGCGCTTATATAACAAAAAGGGGGGAACTACAGGCAATAGCATACACTAACCAATAAGATATAATTGGTATAACAGAAACTTGGTGTGATGAGACACATGACTGAGCAGTTAACTTAAATGGGTACACATTATTTAGGAAGGATAGGAAAAACAAGAAGGGTGGTGGAGTATGTTTGTATGTCAACCATGAGTTAAAGTCAAATCTTAGGCATGTGGAATGTGACGAGGAAAATGTGGAAGCTTTATTGGCTAGATATCTGCTTGGAGCAAATGAAGGGAAATCAATTATTGGTTGTTATAATATATGTTATGTTATATGTTATAAACCACCTAATGTAAATATTAATGAGGAAGAACAACTGTTTATCAAATTGGGAAAGCTGCAAATCGGGGTAACACGTTAATTATTGGAGATTTTAATTACCCGGATATAAATTGAGGGACTAGTACTTCAGCAAGGGGGAATCGGGTTTTTGAATGTGTTAAATGACACCTTCATGTCACAACTGATACAAGAACCAACTAGAAAGGATGCTTGTCTGGATCTCGTTTTAACAAACAATGTTGATCTTCTGACCAACATTCAAGTAGGGGAGCATTTGGGAAATAGTGATCACAATATGGTAAATTTTAAAACAAACTCAAAAAAGCAAAACCACGTGGGGTATACTAAAACAAATAATTTTAAAAAGCCAATTTCAATAAAATTAGGGTAGCTCTACAACATATCGACTGGCATAAACAAACTCCTTAATGAAAAAAACATGGAAACTCTTGGAAACTCTTCAACCAAATATTAGAAAGGTACATTTCTCAGTATGTACCATTGGGTAAAAAATATAAAAGAAACTAATTGAAACCAATGTGGCTTAGTAGAGAAGTAAAACAAGAGATTCAAAATAAGAAAAGGGCATTTAAAGCATTTAAATCGGGCAAATCAGAGGCATCCTACATAAGATATAAGGAAGCCAATAATTCTTGCAAAAAAGGCAATTAAAGTGGCTAAACTAGAAAATTAGAAATTGATATCCCAAGAATGCAAAACCAACCACAAAAATGTTTTCAAACACATCAATTCTAAAAAAAAAACAAAAAAATGCAAGTGTAGGTTCACTGGAAACAGAGATGGGTCTGTTAGTTAATGAAGACCAGGAAAAGTCAGAAATTTTAAATAACTATTTTTCTTCAGTATATATTAACGAGGATTCTATGGCAAGAGTTACGCAAATAATTGCTGCAAAAAACGTGCAGATAACTTGTGATTAGATGACTCGAGACAAGGTGCTACAGCAGTTAAAAAAAATTCATGTAAATAATGCTCTGGGGCCTGACGGTATTCACCCACAAGTACTTAAGGAGCTAAGTGGGGAAATAAGTGAACCTCTGTATTTAATCTTTCAAGATTTTTTTGTTTCAGGTATTGTAGCGGAGGATTGGAGGAAGGCAAATGTCGTTCCTATATTTTAAAAGGGTTCAAAATCCTTGCCTGGAAATTATAGACCTGTGAGCTTAACTTCTGTGGCTGGAAAAATATTTGAAGGGCTATTAAAGGATAATATTCAGGAATTCATTGGGAGGAACATTGTTATTAGCAATAATCAGCATGGTTTTATGAAACATAGGTCATGCCAAACTAACCTATTTGCATTCTACGAATAAGTAAGTAGTAAGAAGTATAGATCATGGTGTTGCAGTGGATGTGATCTACTTGGATTTTGCCAAGGCATTTGATACGGTTCCTTACAATAGGTTAGTCTTCAAACTAAAATAAATTGGTCTATATCAATATTCTTGTTCTTGAGTAGAACATTGACTTAAGGATAGAGTACATCGAGTTGTCAATTGCTTTGCTGCAATGGGATTTAGATAGATTGGGGGACTGGGCACTAAAATGGCAGATTAAATTTAATGTAGAGAAAGGCAAAGTTATGCACTTCGGGGTCAAGAATCCACAAGTAACTTACACCCTAAGTGGTAGTGAATTAGGGATAACCACACACGAAAAGGATTTGGGAATTGGTATAGACAACAAATTAGGCAGCAATATGCAATGTCAATCTGCCGTTGCTAAGGCCAGTAAGGTTTTGTCATGTATAAAAAGGGGCATAAATTCTCAGGATGAAAATATAATTTTGCCTCTTTATAAATTGCTGGTAAGACCACACCTTGAATATGCTGTGCAATTTTGGGCACCTGTTCTAAAGAAGGATATCATGATATCACGGCACTAGAAAAAGTGCAGAGACGAGCTACAAAATTGATAAAAGGAATGGAGCATTTTAGTTACAAAGAAAGGTTAGAAAATGTAAATCTAAAGTTTGGAAAAACAGCGCCTCAGAGGAGATATGATAACATTATACAAATATATTCGGGGCCAGTACAAACCATTGTATGGAAATCTATTCATAAACAGGGCTATACATAGGACACAAGGTCATGCATTTAGGCTGGAACAAAGGAGATTTAATCTAAGGCAAAGAAAAGGTTTTTTTTACAGTAAAAACTATAAGGATGTGGAATTCTCTGACTGAAGATGTAGTTTTATCAGAGTCCATACAAATGTCTAAACAGCAATTGAATAAATACTTCCAAAAACATAACATACAGGGATATAATTTCTAATTAGTGGGGTAATAGCTGCTTGATCCAAGGAGACATCTGACTGCTATTTTTGGGTCAAAACATTTTATTTCCCAAGTTTGTTGCAAAATTGGAAGCGCTTCTGACTGGGTTTTTTGCCTTCTTTTGGATCAACAGCAAAAAACATATGTGAGGAAGGCTGAACTTGATGGACGCAAGTCTCTTTTCAGCTATGTAACTATGTAACTGTAGGCAGTATAACCTCTCCAACTCATTATAGTGTTTACAGTACCTTGACTGCCCAGGAATCTCTCCATTCAGTGTTAAACTAGTTTTACTAGATATAACTGTAGAATAATATTGAGCTATGTTCCACAGGTCTAGAATTATAAAATACATAAAAATAAAAAAGTACATTAAACAGTATTATTCAATATTAGCCATTCCACCTCATTCTTTCATTATAACCCTTCCAAAAATAATACATAAAATAAAAAAGTAAATTAAACAGTATAATTCAATATGAGCCGTTCGACCTAATTATTTCATTATAACCTTCACATCCAACAGCAAAAGAGGTTAAGGAAGAACAAAGGGCATCTGATAACAAAGTAGCAGTGGGCTAGCATCTAGAACTTCTCTTAGGTTGTTTAAAGGTAATCTATGGTGTTAGGAGTACAAACTTGTAGTCCTATGCCCATCCCTCCCCTGCTATGGGGGAGGGGGCATTCTGGTTATATTCAAGAAATGTATTGAAAATTTTCATTTTATTAAGAATTTTTTCACACTGTATTTTTCTGTGCATTTTAGGTTTTGTTTCACTGTTTTTTTTTTATAATAATGGCGATTTATGCACAGAATATATATTTAACAAATGATGATGCCAAATATATAGAGCAAATTGGTTTAAATGTATTTCTGCTTAGTCTTCATTACTGGGGCAACTCCCTACAAACTGGGGGGAGGGAGAATAATTTTCATTGTCAGACTATATTTATAGTATAAAGTGCATAAAGCGATATGGGGCATCACAAGAATACTTTTCTGTTATATTTACTAGTAAAAATATCCCTATTGGCCAATTAAATTATGTTATGAGCTCAGTCATTGGGTCTCGGTGCTCTATAATTAAGTCCCGGAAATAGAACACTGGAATAAATCAGCAGTCAAAATATGTTGATGTAGCATTTTGTACACCTTCTACCTGCATATTTCAGTATAGAACCTCCAGAGAAGATAAAGTAAGGTAAGATGGCACATTTAGCAAAAAAAGGAGGTCACGGTATACAGCTGATTAAGAATTGTATAAAATGAAGGACATTATGTGGTTGGAGAAGTTGGGCTCAGAGGCAATGGGTACCGTAAAGAGAATTATAGAAAATAATGAAGAATGAGAGGAGAGATCGTCTTCACAAAGAGGACTAGGAAATTATCTTTACTTTGTCCATCAGCATTTACAATATGTCTCCAAAGCCAATCAATTAAGTGTTTGTTTGTTTTTTTCTTAAATACAGCGTTTTGAATCTTAAAGGGACACTCCAAGATACCCTGCGCACACAAGACTAGTAATGAACAGGTTTGAGAACCAGATCCATCTTCTCAGGATATATGTGACTTATAAATTAAAATAATAAATAAATAAAGAACACTGGAATTATTTCCTAACACTGTGGTGGAATCTCTGTAAAAATAAATTTAGTAGGCCGAGATTACCACGTGGCATGTGTACGTGCATATGCTGACGTATCGATCAGTTGGTTGCACGAGGCAAGATACGATCAGTAGTGTACGGAGCATGTGCAAGAATACAGGATGTAGTATTCCCCTCCTCCATTGTGCTGGACAAGCCATGCGGTCAAGCAGGAAGTTAATTCTTATTTGTAATGATTGGTCAAGAGAATGTGCGGGTGGAGCTTAATATGGGAGGAGTTATGTGCCTATATAGGGAGCCTGCACTATTGTTCAGGGCTCAGAACTTGCTGTATTTTTGGTGACATTAGTCCCTCTGAGTCCCGATCGGTGATCCAATAAAGAA